GTGGCAAAGTCAATTTTTTGTTGGTGCTGGGTAGTCAATGTCAATATTAGATATCTAGCAACACAAGTCACTGCGGTTTGTTAAAACACAAAAATAAACACGAGTGAGCGGAGGAGCGCTGTGACCAGGTGTATTCATCCACTCATGTGTATTACCACTGTTTTCACCAACTTATACCGCTGCACGAAGTAGTCCATCACTTGATTATTCGGGGACGGTTGTGTTGTTCGAAAAAAGTTCCCCCCAAAAATCGTGTTATTGCAAATATGTGTTTAAGCGGGCACGTGTTAAACGAGTAATTACTGTACTTCGAATTATTCTGGGGAGTAGTTATTTCAAAATAGCAGCAGCAGAACATCCACATTACCGCTATTTTGAAATAAGCATTATTCCCCAAGGAAAGCAGGAGTACAGATTTCGAAATTACCAAGCCCGTTATTTTGAAAAACAGGCTGGTTGTGTGTACACTCTGCTTATTTCAAAACAAGGGGGGTTACTTCAAAGTAACTCCCTAGTGTAGACCAGGGCTAAGGTGCCACAGGACTCCTTGTTGTTTTTGCAGATACTGACTAACATAGCTACCCCTCTGAGACTTTTCAGAGAAAGGGGAGACATCAGAGCAGAGACGAGGACTAAGCAAGTTCCCCAGACATGACAATGCTCTGAAGACTCGTTATTCAATTACAGATGTGCATCAGAGCAGGCTATTACTATTGAGAGAGAGAAAGTTTTGACAGCCAGGGCCATTTCCATGCTCCGAGTTAAAGAATAATGTATTATGCACTTCAGATATGTCATTGTAAAAGTTAATTCTCTAATTTACTTCAGCACCAGCAGAATAGGTAACTCCACATGGCTAATTAATTAGGAAAGGCAGTATGATGTGCAGTACAAACTGAGTAAGCAGCACTAAGATTTGGCTTGGGGCAATATACCACAATGTCAAGAACTATAGTTGCTGGGGGGCATTGTAGGCCAGATTCTCAGCTGATGTAGCACAACATAGTGCTGTTGATTTAAAAGAAGTCAGTGGAGTGCTGCCAATTTAAGCTAGCTCAGGATAGCTACCCGTGGGTAATTCAGAGAGTCCCACGTGTTTTACTAGTCCCTTATATTTTTATGCATTGAAATCTATGAGTTATAAGGTCTTCAGCACATAAAGACATTTGCTCTGCAAGATTTGTGCAAGGCAATCTCTCTGAATACAAGGACATACTCAAAGTGTTATGCTGACACCTTTATGTTCAACATGAGAGTTCAGCTGATAATAGTTTGAGTGCCACTGTTCTCATAATCACCAATGGAAGAAAAGCCAGCCAGTTTGCCTTGGATCTTAGAGCACATCTATTCTACAAGCGCTGCAGGGGCACAACAATGGTGCTCCAGCAATGCTAGTGTAGTGTAGATGCTTGCCACAGTGATGGAAGGGTTTTTCTGTCAGGTTACATCTAGTCTACAGAGCTTTTCTGGGATACCAGAAGTATCCAAGGAACGTGTCTGCTTTTCGGAAAAAAAATTCAGAAAAGGAGACACATTTTTCGGCATCCCTGTAAACCTCATTCTACAAGGAAGTAGGGATGTTCTGAAAGGTTTTTTTCTGACATTTAGCCCCATGTAGACGGGCCAAATGTTGGAAAAGCCTCTTTTGGGAAAAAACAGAAAGAGATATGCAAATTGTGGTTCGCAAGTTGCATATCTTTTTCCGACTTTTCTTTGTAGTGTAGACTTAGCTCCACTGTAGAAAATATACCCCCTCAAGAGGCAATAGCTTGGCTGATAGGAGAATTCTTCTGGCAGCCTAGCTGCATCGATCATGCAGGGCACAAAATTATTCACCACTCTGAGCGATGGAGCTAGGTCAACCTAAGTTTTAGGTATAGATCAGGCCTGAGACTGAAGACAGTAGGGGATCTACATCAAGGCAGAAGCTCTTGTCCACAGGGAGGTATTTTGCAGGAACCTGCCAATTACAATATATGCTGGACTGCTTGAAGAAGTTTGCATCAACCCTCTGTAACAGAAGCAAAGAATTATCCTCCATTGTGTGACCTTCCCCTTTAGGAGGACAATACCACAACCCAGGGCTTGGTCACGTGCCAAGTTTTTCAACCAATTAGATTGGTCATAAAAATCCAATGAGTTGAGAAATGAAAACGTTAATCTTTTGAAATTCCAGCCAATTTTATTCCTGTTGTGGGGAAAAGTATGGGGGAGGGAGGATTGAAATAGGGGAAAGAAGAAAGAGATTTGTACATAAAGCTATGCCAAAAGCACATCACTGGAAAGGCTTTTAACATTTAATTAGTTGTACAAACTGTAGGAGGTCTATGGGGAGTTGGAAACCCTGTTGCAGTTTGATTAAAATAGAGGATATCCTAAAAGTTGGTAAGGCTGAGTATTTCCATTTCTCAAGTGCAATAAAAATGGACTGGAAAGATGCTAATGGTCTGTTGGGTCCATTCCTATATTGCATCCATACTGTATGTTGAGTGCTCTGTCCAGTTGAGTCGTTACTGAATAATGGGAAATAGGACTAGTCCATTAGGTTGTGACACTTCCATAGCTTAATGGAATTGACTGACAGGAAATATTTCTTCATCTTTAGCCTGAACTTCTTTGATTAGTTTTACTCCTTTATGCTTAATTATGTTCACCATACTATTTGAACAAGTCTTTTCCCTGCTTATTGTTTACTCTAGTCAAATATATGTAGATTTCATGATTTTCCTTGATAGCTGTCCAGTCATGTTATAAACATTACTTTGAATCTCTCCCAGTGACCAATCCCTTCAATCTTTTAATTTTGAAGGAGAAGTGTGGCACTGGTCTTAATACAATACTAGGAGACAGGAATTCCCAAACTAGAAAACTAACAATGCTTCCTATCCATGCCTCTTTCAAGTTGTAACCTCTCTCCTTCGTATTTCCCATTTAATTAGGAGCCATTTTTGCACAAGAGGTTTTTGTGCAAGAGCCGTTCTTCCTCCTTTTTTCGCAAGAGGGAGGTTTTGTGCAAAAAGGCGCTGTGTAGACTGCACCTTTTTGTGCAAAAATCTCTTGCACAAAAATGGCTCCTCATTAATCATGCAAATGAAGCAATATGCTAATCCACACTTCATTTGCATAGGTTTTTGCAGAACAGGGAAGCTGTGCAGACGTAGCCTTATAAAGTCAGTCCCATGCTACTTACCGTTCTCACAGAAAAGTAGATTACTACTTGTTTGGCAAGCACAAAGTTTAATGCTATTTTTTATCATCTTTGTCTGAACATCTTCTAATTTGTCAACATCTTTCTTGTATTGAGAAACACTGAAATCTACAGAGTATCTGTGTGGTTCAAATGATACTGCAATTCAACAGATTGCCACTATCCAGGGCTGAGATATGGTAATTACTGTGTTGCCAACTCTTGGGATTTTATCACAAATCTCACAGTATCTGGCATGTTAAAGCCCCAGATCCTGGAGTCATGTGATTAGCTGAGAATCTCAATTTTTGTTTTTATTTTAAAAACTTTTGGGACCCTTAGGACTAAAGAAAAAATGCTTGAAAAGGTGAAATCTAAGAAGCTTAGAAAAAACTCAGAAAGCAAAAAAACTGACAGGTTCAGTCACAGAAATCCCCTTGAAACGATCATGTGGTGTCCTGAAAATACTCGAGCCTGCCTACCAGCCCTCTGGTGAGCTCCACCATTCTCTCCTCCGGAGCCAGAACCTCTCATCTCACCCAGCAGTGGCAGAGAGTTGGGGTCACAGCCCACAGCAGAGCAACACAGACCCTGAGATCTGCTCAGTTCTGGGAGAGCTCAGTCAAACCGAGTTACCATACAAGTTAACTTCCTGGTGGGAGAAGAAAAACAAGTTTGCTGCCCTGAAGAGCTAATAACCTAAACAGATCATGTACAGCAGATGGAATGTGATTGTCGTGAAGTTGAACATTCGTGGTTTCAGATCCATGTCTGTTGTTTGCATTTATTGTGCATTGCATGCGGGGGTGGGAAGGCAAGGGTAATGTTTTGCAGACCTTTTGGAGGAGATGTATTAAGGAGGATCTTATTGGAAAGGCTAGGGGGAAGCAGGCCCAGAGGTAAGAGTTGGACAACGCCAAGAATGGTAAACAGAGCAGTTTGGGGAAAGTAGAAAAATGTGCAATTGTGAGTAGGAGCTCAACGGTACATACGCATGGCAGGAAAAAGGATCGTAAAGTTTATGAGGATGGCAAAAGAAAGTTAATGACAAGAAATGAAGAGGAGCTACTCACCAGAGGAAAAAACTTTTAGTGCTGCAAGAAAATTGCTTCAGATGACAAGTAACCTGCATAAAAAAATGTTTTGCAGACCTGAAAGCTGGGATCTTAGAGCAAATTGCTTGAGCATAGCACTATACCTCAATCTGCAGTAACACCTAGGTAAAAAACCTTGTATCTAATTCTCTATATGTATATCTGTTCATTTTTGAATGAGACAATGTGTGCTTAATGCACATTTAAAGCATTGCTTTTCATATTACTGTGCATACTTAATACTTTTAACTAAATCTCAGTAGCAGATGTTTCTCTGGGATCCACCTTAGCTCTACATTCAAAACTCAGCAAATAATAAGAGTAGGACGGTAGATGTAGATTTTACCCCCCAAACAATGGTATCCAGATGTTGATACAATAGAATGATTTTGAAGTAAATGCACATCTTTTTAGTAAAGATGCAACTCTTCGAAACGAGCATCAGAATAACACTCCTATTAAGTAAACATACCATATTGTTCCTATTTGCACAAAGATTACATGATTTGATAGAAAGATCTTGTTAATATTATGCAGTTTACAGAAACCATCTACACTTACAGATAATCAGTGGAACAATACTATCTAAAACACACTTGCTTGATTAGAAATGCTCTCCATTTTAGAAACAAAGGAAGGCTCGAAATTACAGATTTTGTCCACTACAACCAATCACACAAAAAAGCAATCAAAAGCAAACATTCATAAGAATGAAGAGATTAAGGAATCAGAAATTTATTTATTTATTTACAGCCAATATATTACAATAAAAAAGCTGAACATGGCTCATATTGTGGTTGTATGCAGAAAATACACATGCTTACATTGAACTGTTTTAATTCTCTTGGCACTACCTGAATCAAATGTGTAGACTCAATGCAAAAATAAAAGTAGTACACTTACTGGGCAAAGGATACATTTACAGCATACATCTTAGGACAAGAGTTAAAGTACAATCCAAAGAGAATACAGACAAGCCATAGTAGGACAAGAACTTTTTAGACGAACATGAACTCAAAACATAAGGCTGTCTGGCATCATTTAAGATCTGCTTGCTGTTCTGGACACAGTGACTTTAAAGGAACATCATACAAGATTAAGACACAAAATGTAATTATTAGGGTGAACAATCTCATTACGTTCATTATTTCTCTTTCATATTTTATTCCCACAATAATAATGTGTGTTAAAGAGGCTTCATGACAGTCAAACACAATGCAACAGCTGGAGGGCTTTGCCTGTCAAAGTGACTTGCAGCAAGAGACATTTATGCTTTACACAAATATGTAGCTCAGATGGGTTCTAGTACAAAGATCTAAGAACTACAAATACCAAAGCCTTATAATCTCTCTTCATTTTAATTAGAATCCTGAATACAGCAGGGTCCAAACTACTCCAAGGAAATCCAAGCTATAATACAGCAAAACATTTTCTGCAAGGTCACTATGATACATTAACTGTAGTAAACAGAGTTAATGGTATGTTAACCTTTTTACATTTTCATGAGTGGTTATAAAAACAGAAACTAGCATCTTATAATCTGTTTATATTTCCTGAGTTTAGTTAAATCACAAAGGAAAATTATATAAATCCCAACTAGTCACCAGTAAATTAAAAAGTATGCAACTGGATTGAAAACCTTTATATTCTCCTTATTTGACATATGACACTTCCATTTTCATTTAGGCTCCTCTACAGGGCACATGCAATTAAATTCACTAGCAATGCTGGGATTGATGGTCTTTTGGTCCTCTCTAAGTGCCTTTATGGTAGACTGTGAGATAGCATATTCTGATTGAATCTTATGACAGCACTCAAGACCCCTGCAAGAATTTTCCTCTCCTAAATGGAAAAGCCCCCCTTGTCTCCAGTTTGGGATATGAAGTACCCAGCAATCCAATCCATTACTGAAATTTTCATTTCCTAGTTGCAGTGCTTTGAGTGTAGTGGATTCCACTGTGCACCCCATCTTCCCAATCAAATGAGCCACTGCCATGGAGAGCTGGATTAGTATTCTGCTGTGGTGGGGTGCGGGAATCCAGTGAAAACCTACACTAAAAATGTGAGAATTTCAGGAATAAAGAACTCATCTTAGTGGCTCACCAGAGGAAACAACTTTACTGCTTTAACAACACTTCACATTAGAGACAGCAGAGTAATTATCTTCCAGGAGTCAACATGCATGTTTATTTCATGTATATACAATAATTTGAACGTTGGTGTAAAATCCAGATTTTGAGACTATATTAGGAGTATGGGTACTTACAATATTGCTCTTGGGCGGAGTGCTGCAATCTTTAAATTCAACCTAACTGGCCTAGGCAGATGAACCATAGATTTGCAAAGGCATAATGAATCTGCTTGGTATTTTTAAAACTATTATAATTATTATATGATAAAAGTGTAATTTTTCATTTTTTGTGCAGACAGAAAGGTTTCACTCCATACCTTTAGTCTCAGAGCAGCTTCTGTGTAGCTACCAACCATCTGTAACTTTTCTTATACAGTACCAGCTTTTCATGTAAGAATTATACTAAATCTCATCTTTCCAATCCCCAAAAATCTTTCCCAAACTCTATAGAAAAATAATAAAAAAGGGCTTGGTTTTCCTCCTGCCAGCAATGCATTTTGCTATTCAAACTCTGCAACAGCACTTGCAGTCTCATTGATAGGGCTCAAAAATATCTAGCCAATACATACTAGTCAAAGCAGTACATTGACTAGTTATGCCAGCATTCAATTGTGTCCCAGAGAAACTGTGTAGGATCATAGACCTCTTGCTCCTCTTACCTCTCCCCTCCCACAGCCCATTTTACTGGCTGTTGGAAGGGAAGTTCAAGTGCCTCTGTCCTGTCTAATGTCCCTGGAAGTCTGGGCAACACCATTTCCTTCTACATAAACCTAGCTGGTGATGATCAAGGGAGCTGCCCAATCTCCTTCTTGCCAGGCCCTGGGAGAAGCACTGATATCCAGCCTCTGGATATGTGATCAAGTCATAGCTCTTCAGAACTTCCGTCAGAAAGAGAAGGGTGGTGTTTCTGTAGTGGGTGACTTGCCTAATAATAAATGGAGCGCTTCTTACAGCGTGTAACGCTGGAACAGACCCGCTTGGGGAAGACTATTTTGCTAAGCAATATGTAACTTCTGGCAGATGTTGCAGTTTCCTTGACCGCCAACAGCCACGTGAGAATGAAGAAAATGTCAGAACTCCTGTGGCTCCCAACATCATTAAGGTCTTGATCCAAAACATATATGTGTCTACTGGAGTCTTTCCACAGATTTCAGTGAGTTTTGGATAGGGCCTTAAAGGCGGGGGCGAAGGGAGGTCAATGAGAGTTGAATCTACCAACACCAGGTCTGATTTTAATCCACAGAGCTAGAATTCAGCGCAGTTGTTCTACTGAGTTTGGGATCAGGAAGATAAAGTGTGCTGAACTGTAGAATCTCAGAAGACCAGCATTCTGGCATTAATACTGATAGAACAAAATGAAAGTCAGGCTAAGCCAATCAGGTTGCCATACAGGTGATGTTTAATTTCCCAATAAAAAAAGTTAAATAAATTAAATTAAACTTCAGTCTAACCAGAAACAACTGATTTACACAAAAACCTATGCTTTTTTTGTTTTTGTTTTTTTTTAAAAAAAAACGCCTAGCTGTTTGGAGACAGGCTGCCTTCTGTGTGCCTACATCACAGACCAAGTCTGTTCCCGAGCCAGCCAGAATGCAGCAAGTCACTAACAGTCACCTGACTCACCAACTTCTACCATCATCTCCATATCAGTCTTGTGACAGCTCAGCAGCATGGTCATATATCGTTACTGGAATGAAATTAGCCACAATAGTGTCGCTTGCTTTCCCCATGGATAATTTGCCTTAAACTATTTTTTTCATAAATACTGCTGCAGCATTTATAAAGCAGTAGAAATCATACTTCTGTGACAACATTGTCTTCTATTGTCAGTATCTCTTGAGGAACATACATCTCTGTTATTAATGTCCATAAACACATATTGACCATTAAACATTAATTTAATTCAAAGAGATACTGACATTAAATTATATCTTTTTCCTTCATTTATTTACTTTTCTGACTTTATCAAGTAGGGAAGTTTGGACACAGTGGCAGAGTCACGTTATTACTAATGATTAGAAATATTTCTTTTTCTCATTTCTAGCATTATGAGAGCTTTAAATCTGGTGTAGTTCAAAGGTTTATATGGAAGTTTTACTTGCTTTATAATTTATTCCTCTTCTATATGTTCCTTTTCAGCAGCATGCCTGAAGCAGGATCAGATATGAGACGTGTAGTTTTTTTAACCACAACATACTCTCTATACACAGGCTATTTTTCTATGTTCTCTAGAAACATTACTTCCATGAATTCCTTCCTCAAAACATGATCCAAAAAAAATTTTCAAGTACGATAAACCCAAACTTTATTGCTGGGTTATAGGTCAATGTAAACTGACCAGAATCAACACTTAACTAAAAGTCTTTTTACAAAAATCAGGATTGTTCATTTATGTTTGCTGATCATAGACAGCTTCATTCACCATTCATAAAGTCATTAGAATAAAAAATTACTCCATCTCCTTTGAAAACAAATAGGACTAATAACCGTCGTCATCGTCCATATCACAGCCATAATCTGAAACAAACAGAAAAAGGTTTATTGAATGGAAAATATTCCAGAGAATTAGAAAGTTAAGTTAATGCCTATTATGTCCACTGGCGTGTAGGGCAGCAACCAAGGCTCTCCATTTTTGTTTGTCTTTGGCCATTTTCTCCAGTGTCCCCCAGAGAATTAGAGATGTACAATGAAAATATCACAGCTATCAAAGCACGAATTCAAGTGGTTTATATGCTGTGTAACAAGTTGATATGTTTCAATTAACCAAAGTATAAACTCATACTTTTGCTTAAGACTAAAGAAAAAAAACTGCTATATATGCTCCTTAACTTGTGAACATATATAGCACTGCACTTATTAACAAAGGTTCTATAATACATACAAATTATATGGAGTCTTAGGACCCTAATTTCAAGGAGATTTAGCACATGGATATCACCATATTTTAGTGTACTGAGTTGATAAGCTAAAGAAATCAAACTTGATTTGTCCAAAGTCAAGTGGACATGGATACTGATAAACAATAATGTGTCTAACAAGAGAGCACAATTAACTAAACATGAACACCAAGAAAAAAATAATTTGTTTAAATCATTCAAGGATTTATAAACTGAACCTACCCAGGCTCAAAGACATCTGATTCCCAGGAAGCAAAATTCCTCCCAACATTGAATTTCAATTAGGACATCTGGCTTCAGAAGTCCCATACCTAGTACTACTACAAGCAGAAACTCCAAATATGCCTACACTGCAATTATACCCCCGGCAAATCCGTATCTGCTGAGTTAGGCTCACAGGCCAGGTGGATGTTTAACTGCAGGGTAGACTTCTGGGCTCAGGCTAGCATGTCTCTAGGATGGAAGGGTTACAGAGCTCAGGTCACAGCCTGAGCCATAGGCTCTACACCACAGTTAAACAGCCCAGCAGCCTGTACCCTGGGAGCCCAAGTCAGCTGCAGGTGTCTTAACTGTAGTGAAGACACACCGTAAATGGCCAGTTTTGTCTCTGCCATTCATTTCTCATAATCCTTTATGTGCACAACTATTCCAGAGCAGTGCTGACTGCTATGGTCTAGGGGAAAAAACCAAAACATTTGTAAATGCTTCTGGATATACCTACTTCCTTTCTGCATAATTCACACATTAAAATGGACCCTAACTTTTACTATTATATGTGACTGTTTCGTATATTTAATCTTCATCTTCCAGTGTCAGCGTGGGGATGTTTCATGCTGGGACACAAGGCAGTGAGCGCTCAGCAGCCAAAACAAGTGTAATCCACAGTGACTGGTACAGAAAGGGCCAAGTTCATCACCTGAATCTCCTGCACTTCCCTCCACTTACCAGAGAGCTCAAAGACCCACCAGCAGACATACAAAGCAGTTCTTAGGCTGACTGTCAATTCTGCACAATTTTAACTCTGGCAACATTCCTAACTTATTTTTCTTAACACAAATACTCAGCTTTTTTTTTTAGCTGCAGTACAGAACTCAAAGAGGGTGTGCAATGTTCTCAGAATGTTTTAAAAATAGTAACACAAAGGAGAAAAAAAGCTCAGTGACCTTTAAACTAGTTTTGTGGGCTTTATTACTACTATTTTTAAACACAGACCCACCCACCCACATGGATGCACTTTCTTGGGAACATAATCCTAATAATAAACACTAGTGACAGACAAAGTATTTTTCCTATGGTTCAGAAATTATTTTCCAGTCAGAAATCAATCTAAAAGCAACACATTCCTTTATGTCAACCCAGAGATATTACAAAAAAGCTTCAAAGTCTGCATCTGAATTAATAGTGATGAGGAGGCTTCCACAATAAACCAATGCTCCAGCACAAATCTTCTTCACACTTTGCTTTAGCATATTGCATCATTAACGCCTTTTACTTTAAGATGATTTTTGCATAACTCCAAAGTTTAAAATGTAATAGGAAGATTCAAATAAAGAATAAATCCAGCCGTGTCCAATAATGAGGCTATCAATGTTTCCTGTCAACACAGAAACTGGGTTAATGGATGGCTTCTGGTTAATCCAAAAGTGGGGAGTCACAAAGGGGCTTAGGCACCTGATTGCCATTTGGGCATGCAAGTCCAATGTTTACATTCTCAAAACCCCCACTCAAGCTGGCGCCTAGCCCTGCAGAGGCCTAGGTTTCCACTGTTAAAGTCCCCTAGAGACCTACATTTCTGCATGTGCACAGCTTCTTTAGTCTAGATATCACTGAGCAACCTGGCACCTAAATTCCAGTGGGATTCACAAAGGAGGCATTCACCATCTAGCTTATTGAGGGGTCTGCTTGATAGATGTGCTCAGAGGCTGCATAGGAGTGTATCTACCAGACTGGGCCCCATGCAAACCGCAGCTAATCCATGTGATGTAGGGTTACCAGATGGGTTTCAAAAAAAATACCGGACACACCTGATCTCAGAACGGGATGGGGGGGAGGGGAGCGGGGCTGGTTGGGAGGAGGTCAGGGGGAGCAGGGCTGGCCGGGAGAGATCAGGGCGGGGGGGAACCGGCTGGAGAGAAGCAGGGGAGGGGATCGGAGGGAGCAGGGCTGGTGGGGAGGAGGACAGAGGGGGAACTGGTCAGCGGGGAGCGGGGCTGGCCCAGGCGCACGCAGATCCCAGGGTGCTACCCGTCCCGCACACGGTCCTGGTGGAGCGCACAGGTGAGTCCAGCCCCAGGGATTCTATCCCGCTCTGGCCCTGCCCCCCTCCTCTCTACTGTGTAGTTGCATAGTGCCTGGCTGGTAGACATGCTCACGCAGTGTGAGTGTGTCTACCAGCCAGGCACTATGCAACTACATAAGGATACTCATGATAATAATAAAACTTACTTAATTAGAAAATACCAGACATTTACATTTCCGGAATTTTCTCAATTGGTTTCCCGGACGGAAAGCTCAAATACCGGACTGTCTGGTTCAAAACCAGACACCTGGCAACTCTAATGTGATGTTGGACTCTGCAGGGCTGGGAAGGAAAGTCTTTCTGCCTGGTGTCCGGGGCAGCAGTGCACAGGTTCCCCTGCACAGCTACTCTACCCATCTATCCCCTGCACAATGCCTGGATGAGGCTTAAGTAGTGCAGTGAGCCATGCAGAGGGCCCTCCTCTTGGTGGGGTTTTAACCCCACATGCAGTATGGTTTAACATGCATTTTAAAATGCTTTTCTTTAATAATGAAAAGGCCACTTTAGCAAAGAGCTAAGCAATGTCAGATACGGAGAGCAAGGCACTATGCTAACCATACCCATCACCACTTTGTGTGTTCCCATGTCATCTGGGACCTCATGCTAACACTTTGGCTTTGTTCCCAAAAAACAGCTATTTTTTATTTCTCCAATAGCCTTTTGTGAATAAACATTCTTTTGCAAAGAACAGAAGTTGGTCTGGTAATTTCGGTCTTAAAAGTTGTGCACAGTCAATAGATCCCACTATCTAAAATCAAGACCTACCATTTCCTCCCATTAACTGAAGTGCACTCATGCAGTGCTCATCCTCTTCTTCGATTTCTTCTTCTTCAACTTCATCATCATGGTTATATGATACCGGTCCGCTCTCTACCAGAACATTCCCTGGTTTTTCAAGCTCTGGCCCTTCTGTCTGTGAATGTGGAAAGACTGCCTGTGAACAAGCAAGAGGGACACTAAAGTATACCATTCCTTGTAGCCAACCCTTCCTCCTCAAAATCTCCTAATGAAAGGACCACAACAGCTGGCACAATTGTTCTCTAACAAAGCCCACATCCAGTCTAAGCAGCTTAGCTTTGCTAGGGACCACTCAGCTTCCATAGTGGAAAGTACTGTGACTGTCCATCAGTGATGTATATTCAGATCTCAAGTATTTCAAAGCCAGGCAAATACTCAAAGCGAAACAGTGAAACAGAATGAAAGAAAAACAGAACCCTCTCAATAAGAGCAAGATAAAACTAGCTTGAGGCTGGAGGTGCTTTGGCAGAGCTCTGTGTGGAAGCTTGCAGTGTTTTCTTTCATTGTGTCTGGTTCAAATAACAGCTATTATGCAATGGCAATGCTATTATCACTTTAATGAGAACAAAATGTACTCCGATATCAGAAAAAACTGACGTGTATTAGTTTTGACAGATCAGGTTGGATTTTTTTGGAGCAGAATCAAGAGCGTGACAATAATTATCATTAGACAACACTGTTAATAGTGTAATAGAACACCACACTGGATATACAAACTGATATATCTAGATGATCAGAGCAGCGGGTTGGGAAGGGAACTGGTGGCTCTGGGAACATATGTCAAGGGTCCATAGAGAGCTGAGTTTCACCCGGTGCTGATCTGTCCTCTCTCTTATCAGAGCTGAGCAGTCTGTCTTATTGCTGCTAAGGCTCCAATTCAGCAAGGCGCTAAGAAGAACTTGGCAGGAAATAGAGGGAGGGATTTTAAGGATTTCAGTATTTTCCCCATTCAGCAGCAGGATGAATCCCAAACAGAGAAAGGGACCCATTCCAGAGCAGCCAACTGCCTGCAGGGCACTGAGCTGGGATGGGATGTGGGTTACTCAGTTTCAAGTCCCTGCTCTGCCAGTTAAGACAAAAACCTTAGCAAGATTCAGACAGGCATTAGCTATTTCTATGAACAACAAGAATATCCAGAGTAACAGCACTTAATATTAAACCACTTTGGAAGTGATATTAAACCCTGAAACATGAGGTTTAAGTCAAACTAGAGGTTAAGAAGAAGGTTTTTGCACTTTCTAAATTATCCAATGCTGGCCACTCCAGAAGACAGGATCCGATTCAGTACGGCAATTCCTCTTATTTATTTGTTCTATAGTAACTCTTAGATGACTCAAACAAAATCATGGGCCCACTGTCCTAGGCCAGGGGCAAGCCAGATAAGGCCCACATGCCAGAAACGACCCACTAAGGCTTTGGATCTGGCCCACAGCCCGCTCCACTGGGACCTTCAGGTAGGTTCCCTGCCTGCCACAGTTTCAGACCAGTCTAAGCTGCTGGCTGAGGGTCATGTGCCCAGAGGGATGGGTAGCGGGGGAAAAGACTTCACACGCTGCCCTGTGCCCAATTACAGCAGCTCTCATTGCCCAGAAAATAGCCAATGAGAACTACTAAGATTGGGTAGGGGCAGGGGCAGCACCTGAGGCCTCTCTCCCCCTCAGCATGTGGCACAGAGAGGCACTCCAAGCTCTAGCCCCAAGTTACAACCCCCTTCTTCACTCAAACTCCCTTGAAGACCCTACACCTTCTCCTGCACCTCAGTTTCCTACCCTAAGCTTTCTTCTGCACCCAACCTTCATCCCAGAATCTGCACCCCCTGCATAGAAAAGTGTGGCCCTTGACCACTTACCAAAATCTTTGCATGACCCCTACAATAAAAAAAATTATTGCCCACCCCTGTCCTAAGCACTGTATGAACACATTGGAACAGAAAGCCCAAAGACCAAAAACTCAACATCTAATTACTCAAATATCAAACTCCATCCAAACGTGTCAAAAATCAACCTGATAACACAGGCAAGCTAAAGATTCCAGCTGAGATTTTCTAAGGGCTTCTCTTGACTTACAGCCACGCAGCTGTATCATGTACCAATAGGAGACCATGTCCTGTCAACACAGGTACTCCTCCATCTCCAATAAGCCCTCACGTCCACATAGGTCTGTCTGCACCAGGCGTTTGGTCAGAATGACTGTGTCGCTCAGAGGTGTGGATTATATAAATTTCATTAAGTCAACAGAAGTCTGTAGCATAGATCACGGCAAAGTCACCAAGGAAATTCCTCCAATAGAATATCGACTGGCTACTGAGCATCCATTAATTTTAAATCACACAGAGAATTATCTCCATGCAGACATTAATCTCACTGTTACTTAGATTCAAATTCCTTTAGTTTCAGTTTATCTTGTTTCACCCATCACCACTTTTCCCATAGAATTATCAAACTGACAACTCCAGGGATTTTAGGCATGAGAAATAATAGACAACAGTTTTAGGAAAAACATCATCTTAATTTATACTAATTTTTATGCTAAAAGTTTCCATCTGCTCTGAAAATTTTCATTAAAGAATGGATGAATATAAAAGAAGCTACAACTGATTCATTGTTTATTAAAATTGCACCATCCTAATTAAAATATGACCTTCTTCTAATTATCATGTCCATTTCCAGGCTGTTACAGCTCTAAAAATGTGCAGGTTTTTCTAATGAGCACAGCATAAAAAGTGAAAATGTATTTCCCCAGGCATTATATCAAACTGTTTCTGAAAATTAATGTTTTAAATCATTTTTAAACGAGGATGTCAAACAATTCCTTTCATCAAACTTCCTGAATCAGTCTCCAGAAAAACCTTTGGTAGGACTTTTAAACTCACACTTTTTTGTAATAAGGGTATGAATGGTTGTAGGAACATGTTAAATTGACAAAGTTAACTGGAACATTTTCAAAATGGTGTCAGATTCCCCACATTTATATACAAAAATACGAATGGCTGACTCAGTTTGTAAATTAGCAATACAGATGCTACACTGTTATGTAAAAGTTTATTTTCTGAATATGGACAACAATTTGAATTTACTGTATGTGTATAAATATATTTCACAGAGGCAGAATGTGAGAGAGAGAAGTTAGTAAAAGGAATCCATAGTGAGGTGGCTGCAATGATCCGACTTATTGCTTCTGGCCTGATCAGGGGGATCAATCCTGATCTCTCTGACAGAATCTGGTCCACTGAGGCTTTGCGTAGTTTCCATTAAGGATGCAAAAGGTTAACCAGTTAACCGGTTTCCCCGTAAGCATTAGGCTTATCAGCAGGGCTCACCGAGCCACGGCGAGCCTCACTCACCAGCTGTGCTGTCCGGCATTCTGCGCATGCGCAGATCTCCCGAACCCGGCTCTTCCGGGATGTAATCTACACGCCACGGGTGAGTAAATTACATAGATTGTTGAGCCCTGAATGCTTACTAGGTAACTGGTTGGACTGAAAACTGAGGCAGGGTAGAGCAGCCCTGTGAGAGTCCAGCTGGCTGTTTGGGGGTGGCGGGCAGGGCCACGCCTGCGTCGGGCCAACAGGACCCTGGCCATGTGGGGGCGGCAGGCAGGGCTCCAGCCGCCTGACTTAGCCTGGATGGGCCAGCAAGACCCCGGTCCCAGCCACTCTGGGCCAGGCAGGTGATGCCCTAGCCCCAGCTGAGCAAGGCAAGCAATGCCCCAACTATGCCAACAGGTGATGACCCATCCAAACTGAGGTTGCCCTGTAGGACTCTGGCCACTCCAACTCAGCCTGGGTGGGCCAGCAGGATCCTGGCCAATGGTTAATCACTTGGACTAAAATTATCACCAGTTAAAAAAGTTAACTATTTAGTTAACTTTAACTAAAGTTATTTACATCCTTAGTTTTCATCCCTAGTTTCTTAATTATTGTATTATGAGTTAAGTCAATTTTCAGACTGCAGTTTTAGAACAGGATTCCAGGAAAGGTAGTAAACTTCACATACCTCTTCAGTTGCAGCCTTTTTAGCTAGCTGTGCAGAAATCAATGGTCTTAATCTAGAAAGAAGAAAAAAGGTGTTGATGATTATTAGGAAAGTTATATTGTAAATGCAAAAACACAAGCAGCTTGACAGAGAGTACATTCACTTGTTCTTTAGCCAAGAGTATGAATTTGTTATTATCACACTATGTGCTTTATCCTTTCAATTGAAAAATAAGAGACCTTAGGCACAAGTACTACACATAGTTTAAGAGTAATTAACATTGACATTCAGTAAAACTATGACTTAACAGCTCAATATAGTAAAGGATTGTCTAGACATAAAAGTTGATCCGGAATAAGATAAGGTGTGTGTTTAAAGAGGTTTAGCTATTCCTGATTAACGCCATGTGTGAATGCTCTAATCCCAAAATAATGTCTTATTTTGAATAAATTTAATCCATTTCCAAAGTGGATTAAGCTTATTTGGAATACAATTAATCAGGAATAATTGATTTAGGAACAGCTAATCAGAATAACTCCCTGTGTAGACAAGCCCTTAAAAAAAGCAAGCTAATAAGCATAATAGCAAAACTCCATCCCATAGGTCACCCAAAGCCCTGCTTAGCTCTCCCTGGGGCTTTATAAAATAGATTACTTTTCCCATATGCTCTGAAGGCCAACATTTTTTCCCATTGCTGGCCTCTCCCTCTTTTCTGATATAGAGAGAGACAGATTCAGTGAGCCAGATTCTGTTCCAAATTACACCTATGTACATCTGGGATAATTTCCCTTTATTTGAGAGATGTGATTCCGGATTTACATTGATGTACCAAGATTAAATTACTGTGGTTTTAACATCTTATATGTAATCCTGAATGAGACTACATCAAAAAACAAAAGGATCCTACATGGTCTGAAAGAAATGCTGGAAGCTGAACTTGTACAGGGGAAAAAAGGATTGTAGAGAAACATTTGGAGGTAACAGGTGAGTCTATTATTTTCCCATTCAGGTGGGAAGTATTATTATTGCTAGTCATTTGAAATCCTTATTGCTATGAACATTGTTCTCTATTGTTTAACCTAGTTCTGAGTATGTTGTGTCCCCTCCCCTTATCCAGATATACCCAGTTGTACAACTCCAGAGTGAAGCATTCGTTTAGAATAAGATGATTCTTTCCCTCTACTCATCCATAGGTTCTGGAATTCTTTCAGAATACAAATAGAAAAATTGTCCTCTAATTTAAAAAAAGACACTAAATCTGACTATTCTACAGTAGGAAGTGAAACCCCAGAGAATGAGTGGAGAGCTTTAGTCTTTGCTATCTGACAGAGAAGAAAATATTAAAATTTAAGAGACAGGCATTCAACTCTGAGTCGTCTTGGCAGTGCTTCAGAACATTTTTAGGACACTTGAACAACTGGAGCAGTCCAAGGTGAACCTCTTTTCAGTGCATCTAACCAAGCTGAAGTGAGGGCTACATTTTAAAGGCAGAAACTATGTACTTGCACCGAGAGGATGATCTGGAATACAATGGTATTCTTTTACAACTATTCTCTCTTGCACTTCATGATTATCAACATTATGGAAGAAAAAAAATACTGTTAACTCAGAGAAGTTATTTACTACATAGAAGTCCCAAATGGATCCTTAAATATACAGAGAAAATATTTGAGGGTACAGATACAAATCTTACTCTGTGTCCAATATCCTCTTTATGCTGCCCCACCTGAGTTACACAATCTTCCTAAAATTTGAATGTGTATTATACCCTTAATCATTACTTTCTAACAGAGTATGCTCACCAAATTTAGACACACACAGACATGAGAATGCAGTAACAACATCAATAGCTTAGATAAATAAAGATTGCTGGTCAACTAACAGGTAAAATACCTGTACCACCCTGTATTCACATACTTGAAAAGCAGTAGACAAGACACTAACTCCCTCTCTTTGAAAACAGTAGCAATTATTACAATTAACACACTATCCTGAGATGAGACTTGCTTCCACATGTTACTGAGCAACACCACCTCTCCTAAGAATTCTGTGAAACGTTGCCCTACCCAATTAGAATCAAGCCGTTAAATTAGCCCAGAGGGTACAGAGAATCTGCTGGAATTTGCTTTAGAGGCAATAATGCATGTGCTTACACGGAATTCCATAATCATTGCTATATTAAGTACACAATAAATATTCCAGTGTCATTTTAATTACAAATGTTCCCATAATGAAGAAAATAATTCTCACTTGTGGAACTCCTGTTTTTAAAACTGGAACCCTAACATAAGGAACCGTTCTATTGCACTTTACGAGTCACTGAGTACTCATGTTAATACTCCATAGGCCATATTCCTGTTCTATGTAAGTGTTCATAAAGCATTCTTATTTAGGGTTGCCAACTGTCTAATCACACAAACTCAAAGATCCTTGCTCTGACTTCTGTCCTGTTCCTTCCTCAAGGCCATGCCCCATGATCCACTCCTTCTCAAGTCCTGCCCCTACTCAGTCCATGCCCCCCTCCCTCCATCACTCGCTTTCCCACAAACTCACTTTCACCAGGCTGGGTTAGGGCAGTGGGCTCTGGGAGGGAAGTTAGGTATGGGAGGGAATGAGGGTGTTGGTGCTTATCTCAGGCAGCCCCCAAAAGCAATCAGCACTCCCCTCTGGCAGTAGCTCCTAGGAGTGGGGCACAGAGGGTCTCCACGTGCTGCTGTCTCCTGGAACTGCCCCTGCAGCTCCCATTGGCCGCAGTTCCTGGTCAATGGGAGCCACAGAGTCAGTGCATGGGGCAGGAACAGCATGCACAGACCCCCAGTACCACCAGGGTCAGTGCCAGACACTTCCTGAAAGCCTGACTTGTTGGCACCCAAAATCTCAGTTTGTCTGAAGTAGCCGCTGGGAGATAGAAAGTGGGAGGGTTGACAACCCTATGCTTATTTCTCAGTACAGAAATACTGCAGTTCTCAGAGCAAGCCAAAAATAATATAATAAAAAGCCATATACATGATGCATTGGAAAGAAAATGGGCCTGATTTCCCTCTTCCCAATACTGATCTTATAGAAGTGTCACTCCACAAACTTTAGCAGAGTTAATCCCAATTTGAGCAGGAGGATCAGGTCCATTAATTAATATGTACTATCCACAAACACCAGCAGTGAAAATTGGAGAACTAAACTGATCACACACTGACACATTGTGACAACTTATTTTCCTAAGAGAATAACCTATTTGGTTAAAAAAAATCATTTACGACTCTTAGCTGATGATGTCATCATCTCCACAGAGACCCTTAGCTATTACTGTACACAGCACTAAAGAAAGATTTTACTGTGTGGGGTTTTTTTAATGCCCTTATGCCCTGACCTTCTTAAAACAGAGCAGCTGCTAACACACCAACCATATGGAACAATAAATTACTGGCTGCCATGGCTACAGATATGGGCTTCTTCTACAGTCTGATTTAACCAGGGAAGGCTAGAATATTGTAGTGTGCCATCAGAGAAGAAAACAGTTGTTTTAGAGGCTGGAGTGGGATGGGGCATTAAATGCTTAAATGAGCAGCTTCACAAAAAGAGGGCAGCCAAAGTCCTTTAGGCAACTTTCAACATGTGTGTTCCCCATCAATAGGACTATCACCCAAACTCTCTCGGCTAAAAAGACTTGCACTAAACTTTTTCTTGCCACAGAAGAAATAATTTGAAATAGAAGCTGTTTTGTCCCATATATTGAGTATTACTCTGGGTTAAGATCCATTGGGATGTACAGCAGGTTTCTGTCTAAAATATAATACTTTGACAAAAATAAAATGGCTTATGTAATCATTCACAATTTAGTGTATGTTCTGGTTTTATACACTTGCATTATGAATCTGACAGAATAAAAAACATTAAAAATACCCCTCCCCACCCCCCAAAAAAACAAGTCATGTTGGGAATGGTAAAACAAACCAACAAAAGAAAACAAGATGTACAAACCCCCAGTGCAACACGCAGGTTTCAAACGAATGTGAAAATTATTTGTATGTTCCAATCAACCACCACATATAACATGTGAAGTTGATAATCTTGACATTTCCTTGTCAGAAAATAATGGCATAGTATTTGTCATTAGTGTCTGCTCACTGTAGAATCTGCTTAGCTCCCACTACATCTTCAATTAAGATGTACAAGATAACATCTAAGTTTGTCCTCCAGCTTAACAATTTAAAAGAAGATTCAGTATAATAGAATCTGACAGGGTTGAAGATCATATGAATTGAACTTTCAAAGTGAACAAATGCTTTGAAAAACAAGCTGCCTGTGACAAACAACTGTTTTTATTTTGCTTATTACTTAATAAGTGAGGATTACATAGTATAATACATAAAACAGAGAGGGAGTTATGGGGCAATAAAGACATGTAATTTATAACAGGCAATTCACCCACCCATGGGATTATGATATCATAATCTCCTCAATTCCTTGCATGATGACTAGTCTCAGAGGGGTAGCCCTGTTAGTCTGTATCTGCAAAAACAAGGAGGAGTCCTGTGGCATAAAGAGTTTTTTATACACGAGAGCTTATGGCCAAATAAATCTGTTAGTGTTTAAGGTGCCACAGGACTCCTTGTCAAATTTCCTCAATGTAATTCTAGAAATAATAATTCAAGAAAGTAACCCAAAGCACTCTTATTGCTGAATTTTAATTTAATCCATCCATGTAGGAAACCTCTTACTGTTGCTTACCACCCATAATAATTTTATGGGCAGAAGGACAGGCAATGAATACAATGATGATGTGATGTGCTATAATGGGTTTGTCATAATGAGTCTGTAATGGCTGTGTTAATCATGAGTGAAATTATGCAGGTCATCTGAGACAAGTGCCAATAAAACCTATATGGCCATGCCACTTCATGCGTTCTGTATACACAACACGTGTTGCAGAAAATCTACTATGAAGTACACTTGCACTTGTATTGGTACTGCTACAGCATCCCTTCCATTTGTAAAGCCAGGTTGAATTATAGTCAGGAATGCAACTATCCAGACATCTGAAGAAGGGGGAAAACCAATAATTTTAAACATCTC